TTGGGCTTGGGTTTAAAAATGTTGCTAACATTAATTGAGGTTTCTTCTGTCATTACATAATTGGACCTCTGCTGTCTAACCTCATGCTCCTCGCTGAAGCCTCCCCAGGCTCCTTCAATAATGTGCAGCTTGGTGTAGATTTTGTTCAGGTAGACGGTATCTCCTTCATCTGCATTCCCCTCGTAAATGTTTTGGTACTTTTCCTTCAGGGTGGATTTCAGTTTTTCTTGGATTGGATGGTGGTCAATTTCTGTTAATAAATAAAAAACTAGTAATTTAACCTTCAATCTTGTGTCTGTACATATATTTATGGGTTTGAACTTGTTTGAACCTGACCGTGCGTGAGTATCTTTTTATCTTCCTACCTTTGCTTACTTGATTACTTGGAACTGATAAAGAAACAGAGAAGAAATAGCTGTTAAGTGGCTAAGTTATTAGCTTACAAACTAAACAGTCAAAATTTGTCTTTGTCTTTTTTTTTAACATGTTTTACCTTCATCGTACTTCTTCTTTAGTGTTTCAGCCCACAGTTTGAGTTTCATCCTCATCAGTATATCCACAGTGGCTGTAACAGCCCCGTCATAGCCATATGTCTGCACCAAAAGGTTCACAGTGCCTGGCCTGTCCACCCCTTCGACCCGAGACTTGGGAATATGTGAGAATCCTTCAAGAACATTACTGTAAAGGAACCACTGGAAAGTCCTCAGCTCTTTATCAACCAGCTCCTCCAAAGTGTTCAAGAGCAGCTCTGGGACAGAAGCCATATCTGTTCTCCAAGTTAGTCATGTGATCAACCAGTCCTGTTGTTCCGTGTCCATCCTCTGGCAGAAGTGAGGTTCAAGTGCAGCAACAGTTTCAGTTTTGAACTCATGTAGGCTGGCGTTGCTTCCGTCATCTCATTCCTCAATTCCTGCTGACTTCATTGAAGATTTACAGGCATGCAATCAGCATAAAGAGCACCGTCACTGCACATAAACATACCTGTTCTACAGTAAATACATTGTTCCTGCTCGTCTTATCAGCTTTTGCATGCATGTGTTTACATACCATACAGAAACAAGTTGAGCCAGTCGTGTCAAGTGGGTGATAAGTGGGTATGGGGGCTGCTTATGAAAAGCATAATAGAGAAGTAAAAGAACTATGAGGTTGAGAGAAGAGACACTGTGCAATTCACTGTACAACATAATTAGTTTCACTCTGTGTAACATCCACAGTAAAGTTCTTGTTTCGGTGACCATATAAACCAAAATAGAAAGAATGTGCATAACCCTCACCATGAGATGCAGAAGTGTGACACTGCAGCAATCTTTACATGTCTTATTGATGGACTGGTATAGATATATTGTAGCAGGCTGTAAACTATTTACAATTTATTTGTATTGCCAATATGTAAATGGATTGTAATGTAACTTAAAAAATGAGACCTTCTCCGACTTTCTCCGGAGGCCTAAACAAGCCTATGGGGAGATTTCTATGTAACAGATTTTTTCTGGGTAAATCCAGTATAAAGTATAAAGTATATGTCTACGTGTGCTCCAGAGTGCCTTCTCTCCCCTAACTTTAACTTTAGCTTAGAATTGGAGTCCACTAACATCAACAAATGACTGGCGTCCAACCCATAGTCAAACCTAATATTACTACAAAGCCTGTGAAATCTATGGTGATATTGTGGTTTTAGCATTAGCTTGTTTGGTAATGCAGATAAATTGCTACTTAGCTAACCTAATAAAATACTGTCTTCAGTGGATAACGTTCATCCAAGACTCCCAGGGCTGATCTGGTTGGTATATTGGCTGGCTTTCTGTTTACAGCTTGCTTTGTTGGCTTGGAATGGATCGATGCAGTGTAGCTGAGTTGCAGCTGGCTTCAGCCTCAGGCCATTTTTTTTTTTTTTTTACCATTGTGATAGGGAGAGGTTTGGGGAGGCGATAAAAATAATATAAGGTGTACTGGTTTAATTTCAATAAAGTGGATCATATTATTATTTATTTGTCAGTCATCTGGTAAATTTATTAGACTTTATACAGCACCATGCACTGTTCATACAGTATAGTGCAGGACTAAGTTAGCATGTATCTTGTGGGGACCATATATCATTTTACAAAAACATATTTATTGAGATTTACATAAACCTTTACATAGTTATCAACAGTAGATTTGTGAAAAAGCATAATTTTACTAAAAGCAAACATCTTTGGTGCTATGGAAGTGAAAACATTTGCCTGGGGCCAAATGTTTTTGCTGGAGGGCCCATGGACCACTATATTTGCCTATACCACTCCTCGATAAGATTACCTATTCAGGACGAAATAAGCTGTAAATCATCACAGTTAATGAACACACTTAATGATAAACAACACATGATCTTTTATTTCAAACTTTGAGAAACTGTCATTCTATCTACAGTAGTGTGAATTGCTCATATATGACACTACCGTACTAAGATGTTGACCTTATAAGTGCACTGTCTGTAAATAATTAATATCAGTGTGTTCCTGGTGTTTCAGACCCAGACAGGTCATTGTTTGACTGGTCATCTGAGCCGTCATACTTCATCAGCAAGTTCATTGAGTATATATCTTGAATATCATCAGCAAATTGTCTTTATTTTTGCTGGTGTATTACTCTTAGCTTTGAACCCTGCAATAAAAGCATTATTATGACACAAACATAATAATGACCTATGACCATACTGATGAACACTGGAACACACTGTTATATATCAACCACCCTTCAGGAAGTAGGAAAGAAGTCTGCATTGGAAGTGGAGAACAGGAGCACAGTAGTAACAGTACTAGCTACCCACATATTGTTTGCCCTGAAACCTAAGGCCTATGTGGTCCACCATACAGACCTCTTTCCTTCACCTGTCTGGGAGGCTCTAAGAGGATCAGGTGATACAAATTCTTTGTGCCCAGGCAGGAGGTTTCCTGTCATAGGCAACAGTTAGTTCACTGGCATTAGGTCCATTTGAAGGCTCCAGCTCAAATGCATCCGAATATGGTTTCTCCAGAACTTTGAGGACCCTGTTGACCTGCAGGACAAGATAAGATGACTACTATTAGTCATTGAGGCAAAGAAAATGATTAAACTCCCTAAAGCAAATCTAATAAAAATACATAAGACAGCATAGCTCTTCACAGAGTCCATTTTCATCTATGAAAGCAAGTTTGTCTCCATCTAATGGCCGACTCAGATTCATACTCATATCCAAAACTTTGTCCTCTCTCTGATAGCAAACAAGAATACAACAAAATGATAAGGTCCATTATGGGATAATAAACAAATAACCAATAAAAAAAAAAAAAAAAAAACCGTAAAACCTGACTGCCAAACTTTCTTGTTTTAGCGGCAGCTTTAATGGATGTGGATGTCCCTGTGGAGATTGTGACAAAGAAAGAACAAATGTTTATATACTGACCTCAGAGAAGTCTCCCTTTTCTGCAGCCTGAATTGCATTCTGGGCGATGTAGTTGCGTAGGACAATGCAAGGGTTGGTGCTGTTCATGACGCTCAGCCTCTCCTTTTTGATGAGAGACAAGTCCACTGTGCCATCATACTCCATGGCTAAACGCCTCCTGGTATTTCAGTGCATAGAAATTGTTGTACAATACAATAGAAAATGTGTTGATTTGTCCCATTCGGAATTCTAATACATGTCCATTTATGAAAATGTATGTATGTCATGTATGTATGTAGTCTGGAAAATGTTTAAATGCCATATATGTCCATATTCAGAATTGGTACAATTTCATATGTGGCTATATGTTTTACCATTATATTTTTAAAATGTATTGTATGAAGTCAAATGTGTCAGTTTTATATTTTGGCATATATTTTAATCAACTATATTATGATATATAAATATGAATTTTACAAAGATGTGACAAACACCAGTTGCACATATATGTGAAATAGGTTATTGCTCTTCTATGACCGTAGAATATATACAGTATCCAATATAAGAACATTTTCATAAAAGGCCATGTACTGTATATATGTACAAAGATTATTTAATTGTGAATTTCCCCTTGGGGACGGAACCTCAGAAGTAGTCGTATCTATGCTAGCCATGTATCTATTCTATCATATCTATCTATCTATAATAAAATGGTAGAGAATATCATTATTATTTGGCATCATTGTGGGTCAGTAAAACCAAAACACCAAAACAACTAGCTGAAAGACACTAAACTGCTCTGTAGATCTTAGGGGAACTACAGAGTCTTACTTTTTCTCACCTGTATCTGCTAATCCAGCGTATCCAGTCATCACGCTGCTTTCTCTTCAGTTCATCCTGATCTGTCTCGAGCAGCTCCTTTAGCCGTCCCATCCGTTCCAATTGCTGGGAAACACCTGGTGTGTCTGCCACCATCCCAAACATAACTGGGTTGGTTTGTGCCATGGACAGAATCATCGCCAATTCACTAGAAATGAAGAAAATGCTATAGGTGAATGGGGAAAAGGTAAATGCTTGATGTTGACCACAAATCTATCTCTATTCCTACATGATGTTCCATGATGTACGCCTGCTACTGTCTCCACATGAATCCTACTAAATGCTATAAAACACACATTTAACTTACATATTGTCTCTGAAAGCTTTATCCCCAAAATGCTAGCATATAAAAGGAAAAACAAATTAGATGACAGGAGAGATTTAGTCATTTAAAACCAGTACTCTGCTCAGCTAGGATGAAAGGCACATTCATTGGGAGTATATGGTGGGGCAGCTGGAGAGTTTATGTTCTCAGTGTAGCCGCTCTATGAAGAAACACATGTATCCATCCACCATACACTCCCTCACCGGTCCTTCATAGTTGGCCTATTAGCCACCTTAAGCTCCTCAATAGAGGCACACTGCTCAAGGATGAGGTCCACTACTGGTCCCACTGTGGCCCTCTCACTGTGGCTCTCCTCAGGCCAGGGGACACGACTCAGCAGGCGGAAGGTGTTGGTGAAATCTGCACCTGGAAAGACATTATGTTACAGTACTGTGACAATATTGCAAAAACATTAACTAGAAAAAGTAAATATACTGAAGGCTCAGCCACATGTTCATGTATTCCTATGAAATGCCAAATGTACCAATATTTAAATGTCCAACTTTCTTCCATAGGTCTTTGTACCAGTGTCGTGCATGAGGCGCAGCAGGTCTGATATGAGCTCTCTGTCCTCTGCCTCCTCTTTCCTCACAAGGCCCAGCTTTTTCCTCATGTTACACAGGTAGAAGGCTTCGTATGTGGGTGTGAATTCATCCAGGACAGCCCCTGCCTGAGCCGCATCCAGCTCAGAGCCCAACGCCTCTGCCAGGCGAGCCAGGTTCCAGCGGCACACAGACGGCTGGGCTTGGTATGAGTAGCGCCCTTTCTTGTCTGAGGTGTTGCACACGAAATCTGGATCAAATCTGTTTTGTTTAACCTCAATTAGTGGAACAGAAGTAGCAGTTTTGTAAGTAATCTAACTGGCAAAACACTCTGGTCAAATGCTTTCTGTAGCCTACCTGTCCATGAAACCAAAGGGGCCATAATCCAGAGTAAGACCCAAGATGCTCATGTTGTCTGTGTTAAGGACGCCATGGCAAAAACCAACACACTGCCACTGGGCCACTAGCTTAGCAGTTCGCATCATCACCTGGGGATGAACAAGTGAAATTTGATAATCAAAATGCCTAAACGTCGGCATGCAATGAACCAATCTGAAGGGAGATTAAACCATTTGTCATTATTAGCACTGAGCCAATGACTTTATGACACTCACCTCTCTGAAAAAAGCCATATTCCTGCTTTTCCGGTTACTATGAGTCTGCTGGATGCAAGGATAAAAAGTCTCAATGACATAATCCAGCAGCTGAGCGCGGATGTCATGCCGCCCTGCACTGGGACCCTGCAGGCCTGAGAAATCATCGCGGCCCAAAAAGATCTCAAAAGATCCAAATCTAAAACAAAAGGTAGAAGAGACATAATAAAATGTCCATATTTATCCAGAGCGGCACTATGACTATGTTCTTTTGTGTGCTGATAAAAGCCTGAAAACACTTTAAAGGTTATATGAGATTTAAAACATTAACATAGCCAGTCTGGCTGTGCGTGCATGTGAGTCCCTCTATTTCCAGCTCAGTAGAGCGACTGTTTTATCACCTATCTCGGTGAATCAAGGATTTATTTTGACCAAAGCAGAGTTGGAATAGTGGACAAAGATGGTTTTGGTGAGTTTTATTTTGTTTCTGTCCACTTTGAATGACAATTTTACAATAATATGCCAGTTAAAATGAATGTTTTTGTCTATGAAGTCTGAACGTAAACTTATTACAGCTGTTTCTGGTTAAACAAAAGGTCTATCTCTGTAGGAATCCTTTCCATAATGTTGTCTCTCACTTAATCTGAGCCAGTCAGTGGCAAAACATTTGTACCCTAGGATTAACTAACATTAAATGGAAGGCACATAATTTGGCAAAATAAGGATTTATTTTGACCAAACCATCACTGGTGATTGTTGGAAAAACTGTGGAAATACTATCAAAGTGGGTTTTATTTAGTCTCAGTCCAGTTTTAAGTGTGTTTTATAGTTATCTGCTAGTTAAAATTGCTGGTTTTGTCAATGGAGTCTGGTAGGCTGTAATGCCCATTGTTAACCTTTAAATTATTCTTACCTGATAAAGGAAGGGGCGACCCGCAGGACGACGGAGCAGCGCTCGGGAACGCGTCTGCCACTGTTGAGTGGATCTCTGCTGACATAGAGGTCAGAGGTCACGAGGGAGGCGGCACGGGTGCTGGGTATCCCCAGGGCGGCCATGGCCTCGCTGCACAGAAACTCTCTGATGCTGGAGCGAAGCACTTTCCTGCCGTCACCATCTCTGAGGAAATTGATCCAACGCAATATTCATATGATGCTGTTGTTCTTATTTGGACCTTCGATTGATGACAGTTGACATGGGACTTCACAACAAAATCACTCAAGGTC